CAGGACTTTGGTTATGGCTGCTACAGCTACTGCTTCCACAATCCGTTACGCACCTGAAGATCCTAATCTTCCTAAGCCATGGAAAGGTCTTGTTGATAGTAGAACTGGGTATCTCTACTTTTGGAATCCAGAGACTAATGTTACTCAGTACGAGAGACCAAAATGTCCCTCTCCTCCCAAGCCTTCTGTAACTCAGCAATCTTCTTCTGGATTCAAGCGTGGGTACAGTCCTGAAAAGGAAGATGATAAGTACAATCAGGGCGGTGATGGGTCTAAGACTGACTCTGGATCAAGGTTTAGCGAGGTACTAACCTATGTCTGTTTGTAACAGTGGTTCTTGGTGCTTGCTTTGAATTTTAATTACCAGCATTTACATTTTTGTTTGCCACATTTAATTTATCATTCTTGGTCATATCTTAAAATTTGGTTTTATCTGTGACAGGCTCCCAGAAGTGGACAAGGGAATGATGCATCTGGTGGATCGGTTTCCAGAGGACCTCCTTCTTCAGCTGCAGGAGAACAATTATCCCCAGAGGCATATTGTCGCCGTCATGAAATTACTGTTGATGTGAGTATTTTATGTGTCATTTTTGGAGACCTTTCATTTTTGTCTCTCTTTTTAACCTTGTCTGTTCACTTGACCTATTTTGTTTGTTTTTTTTTGTTATAAAATCTGTGTATGTGGTGATACACGTTTCTGTATCGTATTAACTCTGATATTCATTTTCATTTTTTGCTAGGGAGGCCAAGTACCACCACCTTTAATGTCTTTTGAAGCCACTGGTTTTCCACCGGAGCTTCTGCGGGAGGTATGAAAACATCTTTATATTCATATTACATAAGGTTTTAGTTATCCACTCACTGTTTTTGTCTGGGGGAGTAAATATGTCTATTGCCACATTGCTCTGTGCTAGTGAGCTAGACTATTTCGAGTTTTGTTTCGTGGATTCAGTGGTTTATGAAAGAGCTATTTTGTCTACTAATTAAACATGTTTAAAAAAACTAAACAGAAATCTCTCTCTCACTAGACCATGAATCTGCTAGTGAGGTGGACTGTTTTGAGTTTTTTTTTTCATTGGATTTAGTGATTTATGGATGGAGCTATTAGGCCTCATTTTGCAAACTTTTTACGTTTGTCAGCTATAGTCATCTTTCGAGAGTTTTATAAAATTTGAATTTTCAATTACTGGAAGAGGGTGTACATTGACTAGACACAATTTTATGCCATATGCACTCTCTTTTGTCCCAGGTGCGATATTTGCTCTTGGAGGAGCTAATGTCGTACGCTGTGCCACTTCTTTGGGGTCCTTGCAAATTATTTGGAGTGCCCTTTTTGGTGGACCAAATTTTTTGGTAAGGGCTTTCAAATTCACCCAAAGCTTGTGGCAGAACTTTTTTGATGTTGATGATTCATTTTCCCGTTGAGTCCAGTCAGAAGTAGATGCGTCCTCCTGCTGCAGGTTTCAACAGCTATCTTTTTGTCGCCTGCAGTTGGGAGAATGATGATTCTTCTGGCTCTGTGAGCCCAAAATAACCTTGGGGTTCCGCTGGTCAAAGTTTATCCTTGTTTTTGTTTTTCTCAGGTACACAATGCAGGATTCTCTGCTCCAACTCCAATTCAAGCTCAGTCGTGGCCAATTGCGATGCAGAACAGAGACATTGTAGCCATCGCTAAAACAGGCTCTGGAAAAACTCTGGGTTACTTGATTCCAGGCTTTATGCATCTCCAACGGGTCCGCAATGATTCACGGATGGGTCCAACGATCTTGGTATTGTCACCGACTAGGGAGCTGGCCACACAAATCCAAGCTGAAGCTAAGAAATTTGGGAAGTCGTTAAGAATTTCGTGTGCGGTAAGTAAAAAGTCTTGAATTTATAGTTACTCTTCTTGCTACTTGAGAAGTATCTTATTGAGTCTTTTTGTTTCTTTGAAGTGCCTGTATGGTGGAGCACCAAAGGGTCCTCAGCTGCAGGAAATAGAAAGAGGTGTAGATATTGTTGTTGCGACTCCTGGTCGACTGAATGATATACTTGAAATGAGGAGAATCAGTCTGCATCAAATATCTTATCTTGTGCTAGATGAAGCTGATAGAATGTTGGACATGGGGTTCGAGCCTCAGATCAGGAAAATTGTGAAAGAGGCTCCCACTAAGCGTCAAACCCTAATGTACACAGCGACATGGCCAAAAGAAGTCAGGAAGATCGCATCTGATCTGCTTGTTAACCCTGCGCAGGTCAACATTGGTAATAGTGACGAGCTTGTGGCAAACAAGTCCATTACTCAGGTTTGGATTTTGCCACTTACTCTGGTTATTAGTATTGTGTTAGACGTAATTACCATTAATGGATCTGATAGCTTCTTTATGTATTTTATTTGATACAGACTATTGAAGTCATTGCACCGATGGAGAAACATAAAAGGCTAGAGCAGATACTGCGGTCTCAAGAACCAGGTTCCAAGATTATAATCTTCTGTTCAACAAAAAGGATGTGTGATCAACTAGCACGTAACCTGACCCGCCCATTTGGAGCTGCTGCAATACATGGAGATAAGTCTCAGGCTGAGAGAGACGATGTACTGAACCAATTTAGAAGTGGCAGGACTCCTGTTCTTGTTGCAACCGATGTAGCTGCTCGTGGACTTGACGTTAAGGACATCAGGTATGAATATGATTCCAATTCCAGATTCTGATGATAAGAAAGTTGGAAACAAATGATACACTAATGGAGAGTTTGTGATTCGCAGGGTTGTGGTCAACTATGATTTCCCAAATGGAGTAGAGGATTATGTTCATAGAATCGGAAGAACCGGAAGAGCTGGAGCAACGGGTTTAGCTTACACCTTCTTTGGGGACCAAGATGCAAAATATGCTTCAGATCTGATCAAGATCTTGGAAGGAGCAAACCAGAAAGTTCCACCACAGGTCCGTGAACTGGCTACACGCGGTGGTGGTGGAATGAACAAATTCCGTCGCTGGGGTCCA